AATCTAGTAATGATATGATTCTTCAAAGCTCTTAAAAAGAGTTTTGAAGTTATTGTTATGTTATCAAAACATCATAATTAATTCAAGATAACATTTCTTCAGGTTCTTTTCAGTTCAAATCATAATGCATTAATTATTGCCACAGGTCCTGATTTAGCACAGATAATGATTATCTTTAGCAGAACTACTCACACACTGCTCATATGACTAGAACTAATAACACTTGCACACCTTGTGCAATCAGGTATCATATTAAAAAACACTTCCTAGGGCCTTTGTTTCTTATTCTACTTGAACTGTCCTCAGAGGGAAGCCTAAATTTCCTATCTCACAGGCTTTTGCTTGCATTATTAGATTAACACATTAGACTAGTTGATCTTTGTCCAGGATCCTGAATACCTATAGGGGTGTGTATGCTTATATACATAAATGTCTTCTGCAGGTAGATGAAAACACACACAATTATCTGCACATCTCACCTAAGTAGTTTTTTGTATCTTATTTGATTTTTTAAGCAGAAAATCCTCAGAAGGAAGGCTGGGAATTGCCTTTCCCTCCATTTTCTCATCAGTCTCTTGCAGCATGAATTAATTCCTCTGCCAAGTGGATGATTTGAGTCTGATTCTCTCAGGCAGAATAGTCTGTAAGACTTGAGGGTCTTGTACCCAGATCAAGTGATACAGTGCTCCAGTCACCTGGTCAGTAAACAAAAGATTAGTACTGCTGCATTCAAAAGGAAAATGGTGTGTCCTGCCTTGACAAGTGTGTCCTTACTGCTTGACTATGTAGCCATATGAGACAACCATGGGACAATAGCCTTGCTTTGAGCTTGAGGGGAAGAAGACGCAGTTCCCTTTCCAGTATTGCCTTCAGACTCCTAAATGCAGGTCCCCATCAGTGTGCTCTCATTCTGAGGTGTTGAACATCTCATGTGGGACAGTTTGAAACCTGACCTAGCTTGGGGCTCTCAGGAGTCACATGCTTGGGAGCTTGCAGAGAGGGGCATGTGTGTCACTTAGGCCACTGCTTTTTGCTATGTATTCCTACAGTTCTCCCTTCTGTCAGAGTCTCTCATCTATATTAATGCTCTTTTCTGAGAAGGTGGTGAAATTCTTCACCAATACAGTCCAAAACCAATTAGTATCTTCATAATTCACATTGTATCCCTTTTGAAGTTTGTATTTGATAAGAACATCTGGCAGATTACATTCTCCTGTGTATGGTTCAGCAGTAAGTAACAAATCTAACACATGAGCAGGCCATATCCACGCTACAAAATCCTTCTGGGTTACAATACATCTTGTGCACTTTTCCTCTACTTTTATATTTAAAATAAAATTGTCAAGATTTGTACATGAAGAATGGATTTCTTGAAGACAGATGAAGCAAAACCTGTGTGAAGGAATAAGCTTATCTGGATTCCCTGATGGAGAAGTGCAGGTTAAAATGGAAACTAGAGTTAATGGAAAATAAGAAGTATCTTCTAGGTTGCCCCTTGATTTTGGCTGTGATAGAGTTAATTTTCTTCATAGTGTCTACTGTGGATCTATGTTTAGGATTTGTGCTGAAAACACAGATGATAATGTGGAGAAACACAGTTGATAATGCAGAGATTTTTCATTATTGCTGAGCAGGGCTTACACAGAGTCAAGGCCTTTTCTTCCTCTCACTGCACCCCACCAGCAAGTGGGCTGGGGGTGCACAAGCAGTTTGGAGGGGACACAGCTGGCTCAGCTGACCACAGCTGACCCATGTCATGCTCAGCATATAAAGCTGTTGGAAGAAGAAAGATGGAGGCATTTGAAGTGATATAGCATTTATCTTCCCAAGTGACAGTTACACATGATGGAGCCCTGCTTTTCTGGAGATGGCTGAACACCTACCTGCCCATGGGATGTAGTCAATGAATTCCTTGTTTTGCTTTGCTTGCACATGCAGCTCTTGCTTTACCTATTAAACTGTCTTTATCTCAACTCAGGAGTTTTCTCACTTTCACTTTTCTGATTCTCTTCCCATCCTGCCTTGGGGGAGTGAATGAGCAGCTGTGTAGGGCTTGATTGCCAACTGGAGTTAAACCGTAACAGTCCTTTGGAACTTACTGTTAACACAACCAGTTGGTGTCATTCTAGGAAAATGTATGCTAATTGTCAGTATTAAAAAAACAAAGTTTAACATTAGTGAGAAAGTATGCTCCATTTTTCCAGAACACTGAAATTTTTAATTAGTAGGGAATTTTTTATTTATGTATTCTCTCCCTCTGGTATCTTGGCAAAGTAGAAAACTATATTACAAAAGGAAACAAATGTATAACTGTAAAAGCAAGAAACCCCAGAAAACAGAAAAGAATAAGCATTTGCTCTCTTGGAGAGTAAGGAAGGAGTTATGTGCATTATCTTTTATATACCTTTTTTTTGTGGCACAATGGAACCTGGGAAAGGAAGTCCTCTTGATGGGTTAGCCACTTGCTGGGCAACATGGCATCACCGAATTGCTATCCTATGATGTCAAGCTGTAAATTATAGTCCCACTATGCTCTCCAAGATACAGACTGCAATAAATGTGTTTTGGTTATTGCAACCAACATACAAAATTCCTGCTTTATATGGTTTAGATAGCATCAAAAAGTAGCCTGAAACAGCCCAACTTCCAGAATCTCTGAGGCCAGTAAATATACTTGGGGTTAGAAAGCAAAGAAAATAACAAGGATTAGTAAGTAAAGTAGAAAGAACTTTGATTCTCAGCAGAGGTTATGTATATGTTTTTCTTTAAAGGTAAGATATACCACAGCATTTCATTGCAAGTGTGAGGTTCTTGTAACATATTGAGGCTAAGGGTAAAAAGTTGTATGTTATTTCCCAAAGAACATTAGCAGAGTATTATAGAATCATAGAATCATTAGGGTTGGAAAGGACCTTAAGATTATCTAGTTCCAACCCCCCTGCCATGGGCAGGGACACCTTACGCTAAATCATATCACCCAAGGCCTCGTCCAACCTGGCCTTGAACACTGCCAGGGATGGAGCATTCACAACCTCCCTGGGCAACCTATTCCAGTGCCTCACCACCCTAACAGGAAAGAATTTCCTTCTTATGCCCAACCTAAACTTCCCCTGTTTAAGTTTATGGTTTTAAGGCCAAATGTTCAGTCTTCAGGAAATACCAGAATTAATATTCTCCAGCCTTGCTGTGATAAAAATGCCTGTTATAACAGAAATAGGCATGACATGTATTGCCAGTGATTTAATGACACAGCTGTAGAGACAGGCCTCTCGTGTCAATTCTGGGACTGCATATATATTATAATGGCCCATTTGTTTCTGACCTCTGCTAGCATCTGCCCTCCCTTTTCTTCTCATTGCCTTCTCCCAGCACTTACCCACCAGCTTTCATCCCCAGCTTCTCTTCTTCCACTCTGTAAAATGGTTGCTTAATCCTCAGAGATGCAACCATTTCTTCTCTGCAGCTTTGATTACGGCAGGGGAGCATTTCCAGCAGGCTGTGGTGCCTTCCCAATGACTTTTTTCTTGATGGAAATTTAGGTATGGGTAAGCATCAACTTGCGTACAGTTTATTGATCCTCCTTGAACAGATACCTGCGACACTCAACAGGATGCAATCTTACAGGGACAGCTTTGTTTTGGTGCTTCAAGGATAAATGCAGTGGTGGAAGGAATGAATGCAAGGGGATATATGCTGGCTTGTGTTTCATGATTGCTTTTCAGTTCCCCTACAGGTAATGAACTCGGACCATAGGTTGAAAATCTCTACGTTACTGCAATGCCAGTATGAGCTAAGAACATCTGTGTTGCTATTTGTGTGCTTGTATGCATCTGCAATTAAAAAGGAATAATTCTTCAGGTGATCACTCCATTTATCTTCATTTTGCCTCACTGCTAATAAACGATGTGATCTCTGTTAATGAAAATTTAGGATAATTGGTATAAGTTTACAGAGCTAGTCAAATTGGAAATACTCAAGTTCCTCGTTTTCATCTTGTACATCTTATTCACTGTTTTATAAGATATAATATGCGAGTGGTCACATGCATTGCTGGCTACTTTTTGACAGTTCATAATGCACTTGTAGTTACTGGGCAATGGTTCAGTGACTTACGGATTATGGATACTACCCTTCAAAATCTGGTGGTTGCCATCAGCCTCTTGGGGTATTCTGGCAAAGTGGAATCAATGGGATGGAGACGGCATATTTCACACCTGCATTATGGAAATAGCACTGTAACTGCTAAGTTGAATGACAAAACCATCCAACATAATGGAGATGGGTCCTACAGGGGCAACCAGGTCTGTTAAAAATTTCATTTCCTGCCTTAGTTTGTCCTTGAGCAATGTGTCTATATACAGTATTCAACCCTGACTATTCATCCAGTGATGCCAGCATGTCTTCTTTAGCATTTGCTGAAGGGTGGATAGGCAGCCTTGTCTGTGTGCTGCTGAGGTCCCTTTCAGTTGCTTATGATTCAGAAGACTAATCTGAGGACACAAGACATTCACTGACCTCATGTCTCTCTTTGCAGTCAGTCTCTGGAACTGACCAATGTAAGTGTGGTTTCCTAGTAGTGGTAGTTGTGTATTTTCAAAAAAGCCCCAGGAAAACTTCACCAATTCCCCAAATAGTGACAAGCGATGGCCAACAGCAATGAGTGAACAGCTCTTTTGGCTGGAAATGTCTCACTAGAGTGGCAATGTCACATGATATTCTCTAAAGAAATCTAGAGACAGTTCACTGATAACTTGCAGCCTGCTCCCCTCAAAAAAAGACCTCAAACCACTAAAGGTGGTACCAAAAGCTGTGACTGAGGTATGAAGCAGAAGCAGAAGGGCTTTCCAAATCCAAATCTTCTTTTGAAATCCTGACAGAGAGGTTACTGCTCCAGAGGAGATATAGTCCCTGTTCTGCTCCCTCTTATCTGCAACCCAACACCCAGCACTGTTAGTTTGTGGCTGGATTGGACAAACTGTCCAGAGTATCTAGTGTCATTGCTGCTTGTTGCGCATCCTCTCTGGCAATTTTTATTTGATCTATTTAATGATTAATGGGCATGCTTTGCTTAATCCTGTTCAATGGTACTGAAGAGAAGGAACAGACAAGACCAGATGGACACAGCAAGATACTTTTTGTAGCACTGTAAGTACCCTTTTAATTTGCCCTTGGACCGTTTGCACATTATATGTGGGGGGGATTATGTTGTTGCCTGGGAAGGACACCTTTTTACATGTAAACAAAGGTATATACTTCACATGCAAAAAAACCAAAACATTCCAAAAGCCAGCAAAAACTGGCTGTTAGTGAAGAAGATACTCCACATAATTAAATAAAAATTTGTTTTGGAAACAATAAAGATGCCTATAGACTTTGCTACCACAGTGATCCAATATTTTCTCTTTGAAGAAAGAGTAAGTACTTTGAAATTTTGGTCCTAGACAGTAGGACATGTGCTTATACCTCTTTTTTTTTTTTTAAACACATTTCATTCTCTCATTATTTGATGAATTGAGGAAGACTAACAGGGCTGCAGTGGCCATCCTACAGTACTGAGTGCAAAATCAATTTCCTCCACCTACTCTGGGAAAAAGGTTATAATTTTCCAGTTATTTGCAAGTTTTTAAAAATTCAGTCCTACCCTATTTTTTAAAAGTCAATACGATCCAAATGACTGCTTTTGAGAGAGTACTTGGTTATACAACTAGTGTATTAGGAGGCATATTCTTTCTGGGGATCACTGGCATGTATTAAGAATGTGAAATATAAAAGTATGTGATTTTGGAGAACAGGTATGGTCTGAGAGCCTCATTTTACTTGGCTGGATGCACAGAATGAATAAATTCATTTCCATGCCAATTTTCTATGTTTATCTGTTTTCCAGAAACAGTTAAAAGGAAAATGAAGCCCATCTTCTCCTTGTGTTTATTGCTGGCTGGTTTGTATACTGCTGCCCACTGTCATCAGCATCCTCATTATCTCAGTAAGCAGGATGATCCTAAAGGGACATATTACCCACAATGCAGTTCTCCTGGGAAAGGAGTTTATCCAGTTACTTTCGGTAAACTAGTTTCCAGCAATGCTGACTTTGCATTCTTATTTTACAAGCTGATTGCATCCGAAGCAACTGATCAAAATATTTTCTTTTCACCCATAAGCATCTCTGCTTCCTTTGCAATGCTGGCACTCGGTGCCAGGTCAGCAACACTGACGCAGATTCTGGAAGGGCTTGCCTTTAACCTGGAAAAGACTCAGGAGCAGGAAATACATGAAGGTTTTTGCCAGCTCCTCCACATGTTGAACCGCTCAGACACTGAACTCCAGCTGAGCCTAGGCAATGCCCTTTTTATAGAAGAGACACTAAAACCACTACAGAAGTTCCTGGATGATATCAAAAGCTTTTATGATTCTGAAGTCTTTTCTACTGACTTTAACAACTCCTCTGGTGCAGAGAATCAGATCAACAGTTATATTGAGGAAAAGACAAATGGGAAAATTGCTAAACTAGTGGAAAATCTTGATCCTTTCACCACCATGGTTCTTGTTAACTATGTCTTCCTTAAAGGTAAGAAATATCAAAGGGTGTGAAGGTTGTGACTTAGACGCTTGCTGCTTATTACAGGGAATGAAAACAAGAGAAAGAAAATGTAGATTAAATATTTTAAATGGAGGAAAACAAGTTCAGTATATGGAAAATACCACATATTGTTATAAACTCATGTATATTCCTTATCAGTATAAATGTGTCCTCACCTGGTTGAGTGAAAGACTAGTGGTTTTGGTTTTTTTTTTAACAGTTATCTTTGTTGAGGTTGGTAAATTCTTTATGTTTTGTAGGCTCATGCTCTGCTGAAAGATGATGTTTTCAATATTATGTTTCTGCAATTGTCTTTAAACACCTGAAATAGAAACCAAAAGAGCTGCATTGCTGTAACACCTGGGGATGCAGTAGCTTGAAAAAGATATTTGCTCTAATCAAAGGAAGGCTGTGGGACTAGATCCCATTTTATTCACCATGACCATTCCTCTTTGTATTCCACTGAATTATTTTTCTTTTTTTCCTAAGCCCAGTGGGAGAAACCCTTCAGTACTTCATATACAAAACAGGAGGATTTTTTTGTGGATCAGGAAACATCTGTAAAAGTTGACATGATGTATCAAAAGGGTTACTACAGAACTTACTTTGATGAAGAACTGTCCTGTTGGCTGGTTCAGATACCTTACAATGGAAATGCTGCAGCATTATTTGCTTTGCCTGACAAAGGGAAGATGAAGCAAGTGGAAGATGCTCTCTTGAAAAGGACTGCATCTAAATGGGGAAAGTTCCTCCGAGACAGGTAAGTGTTTTTGCTGAAAGGTGACCATATTATAAATTAGTAGAGTTTATCTCACCAAGACAAAACATCAAAGGCCACATTATTCTACTGAACTCTGGTCACTTGATGGTACCTCTGTATGCAGGACTTCTTTCTTAGCACGGAAGTTACAAAGAACTGCGGCTAGCAAACAAGTAGGGCATTGAACTTGCGATCCACCTAGGGTTAAGCTCCTGGCTCAACCAAAAGTTGCTTAGCACCAGAATGAAGATAGGAGACACTTGTTTCATAAGGATATTTTGAAACTATAATGAAGTAGCTATTGGGTGTTTGGGTGTTGAGACCATTATAGGTAAAAGCAAGAATTTCACTCATTCACCGTTACTGCAGCTACTCCTGTGGTGGCCCAAGCCCCGTTGCATATTCAAACAGCCTTAGGACAGTTATGATTTCTTGAAAAAACCCTGCTCCCTGCTTGCCACAGAGTTGGTGCAGTTGTGTGGTGTTCAACCCACTGTGGAGGCAGAGGATAACACAGGCTCATTTTGCTCCAACCCTCCACGTTAGATAGCTAGCCTGATCAGAAGTGCTATCTGAACCCTGAAAGCAGACTTTCAACATTTAGAAAAAATAATTTGAAGTGTCATTATACTGAAGCCATTGAGGAGTGTTACCTAGATGACAATTTGTTCCCATTTGTGGTATTTTTTTACAGGAAAATACATCTGCACATTCCAAAACTTTGTATTTCTGGTACATATGATGTGAAAAGTATAGTCAAACAAGTGGGGATGATTGATCTGTTCACTGAACAAGCTGATCTGTCAGGGATTACTGAGGAGCCTGGACTAATGGTTGCAAAAGTAAGTCAGCCCATGAAACACAGTGACCACAGGATTTAGCTATTCCAAGGAACCTGACATTAGTATCCCATAAAAAGCTTATCCCTGTCTCTCTGAAGCATCACTCAGTCATCAACAGCTGCCAGACTAGAGGCAAAGCATTCCCTATATTTCCTAAATCTGAAGCCAAACATGCTTGCAAGGCTATATGTACACAGTCGGAGAACAAGGAAGAAGACTTATAACTGTTCTTTTAGCTACTAAACAAAATCATCCAAAGCTAGCACATTAGCTTTGGTAAAATTTCCCCTAATTCTGCATACAAAGGGCAAAAGGCTGTTATTTCTGCCATTCTAGTACTTTCAAAAAAATTGTTTTTTTTCAGCTAGATGGTAGGGTAAATTCACAATAATACATGAAGCTGCCAAAGGCAAAACTAAGCCTAGGCTAAATTACCAGGTTTCTTTGCTACCAGAGCTTCTTGCCAACAGTCATCTTGATCGCTCTTCGGCTGTCTGCTGTTTGAGGGTTACTCTCTGCACATGCAGTGAAGGAGGCTAGCAGGAGTGGTCTGATAGCTGGTTGTGCTGCAGTGGGAAGTGGAGTGTCTGGTGATGACCTTCGCAGAGGTTGGTGCTGCTGGGTCTTGCTCCCCTTGCTCCAAAGGCAGGGTTCCCTTTGGCAAGAGCATGGAGGGTGGCAGGCTGCTCTTTTCTTGCCAGGTTGTCATCTGGAGGTTGTTTGGCTTCGTGTCTTTGCAGGTGATCCACAAAGCCATACTGAATGTTCATGAAAATGGCACTGAAGCAGCTGGGGCCACGGTTAAGGAGATTACCTGGCGATCTGGAGATTTTCCTCATCCACCTCGAATCAGATTCAACAGGCCTTTTCTCCTGGCAATTCTGGATAAATACACCCACACCATCCTTTTCATGGGAAAAATTGTAAACCCTCTGAAAAATGACTGATCCACCAGAGAACGTGCACTTATTCACATCGCTGGCTAAATCCCTGCGATCCAGCGAAACACCTGTGCATGCACGCCATTATGTACTAGTGCTCATCTTTCACCCGTTATCCTTATATACATTATTAATCCCTTAAAAAACAAACCCTATTTTTCCTTGTCCAAAAAGTCACTGGTATTTCCACCAGTCTATAGCTGGGGATAGCTTGTAGTGTCAGAGCATTTTTTACCAGTTTTGTAAGAAGCTCTTCCTGACATGCTCCAGTGGGTTATTTGAGATGGCTCAAAGCCTCTAGGTAATGTAGCTGCTGCTGTACACTCATGGTGTGTGTACTGGACAGCAGAAAAAGGGAATCAAGGAAAAGGAGGTGTAAGGTATAAATCCTGTCTCTTTAATACTCTAACCTTAATGACTAGCTTTGAATACAGATTCCCTTAATACTGGAGTGAATTTCCAATAATTTATTTGGTTTTTAACCAAGTATGGTGTGAAGCTGCAGGATCAGTGACTGGGACACTGGAAGATACACCAACCAATGTAAAGGGTTGATGGGTGCAGGTAGTTTAGCTCACCTCCCTTTTTCCTCTTCAGAGGAAGCTGTCCTCATGAAGACAAGAAGGTTGGTTTTGCTCTACAAATAATATTTATTCTACTAAGCAAGGAAGCCATAGCAGCAAAAAGACTCTGTATTATCCTGTTAATACAACTATTATTGCCAATGCCCTGAGATAAAAGTATGGTGAAGCAGTACATGGCATAACACCAGTTTTCTTATTATGGATTTATCATCACTGTCATTTCTCTTTTCTCCTACTGATGCCATGTTTACTCTTACACTTTCCAGCTAGACATGTCAGACTGCAGCAGAAAAGAGGAGGAATAAGAGATTATAACACTGGAGAATTTGCATTTCTTCAGTAGGAAGACCAGAGCTTTCCTAGGGACTGTTAACATGCTTTAAACTATCATAGAGACACATAGAAAATGCAGCTAATGTTTGAGAAGTCAACTTCCTAAATGGTAGATGTGGATTACTGTTATGGAGTAAAAACATATTGTGAATTGATATGTTTACCTTTTCACTTTTAAGGTTTCCTGAGTTTAACTTTTTACAATTGTGTTGTTTTATAGCAAGACAACTGAGAGGATTTTAACATATCAGCTACACTAGATAGTTGTACAGTTGTGAAAAGAAACACAAATCAATCAGTAAATATTAAATTTTTTATTTTTTTAAATCAACATCCTTAGTATGTCTTAGTAAAATATAGAAAGCCAATGAAAGTGCTTAAGTTACAGATTTATTAAAACTTTTGCAGCAGAATCTCAAACTGTTAGAGAAGAAGTAAAATATAAATGGCAAATTTCTAGACTTTAGTCTCTTAAAATATCTGTGAAAAATATAACTTGAAAGTTATGTTGAATATTTCTAAAATATAATTATTTTTATTAGTTTGGGGATCTTTACTTTCTTTGAGATTAAGTCATTGACATCAACATTAGTAAATTGTAGCTGTAAGTGTACCAATAAGGAACATAAGAACCTTTTTATATCAAACTTCCAGCCATATTAACACTTGACATTCACTCTCAAAGCCCTCATCAAAATCATGTAAATTATTAACAGAAGTTTCTTACTCATAATTGTATTTAGTCTGTTCAATATTTAGTAACAAACAGTTGGCTTCATACCTCTACAAATAAAAGACCTCTACACATATGCTTCATACCTCTACACATAAGACAAAAAAAGTCTTAGCACAATACAGTTAAACAGATTCTACAGAAGATCATTCCAAAACCCTTGGCAAATCTCAGGGCTAATTCAGGACAGTGTGCTAAAGTCCAGCTTTGCAATGACGAACAACTCTGTAGGCAAGACTGTGTTCCTTGTACTTCATGGACCTCAGATCAATAGTCTCCATTTGTTAGTAGGAAAAAAAAAACCAAACCAAAATTAAATGACATTTTGCTAATCAGATCTCACTGAGGGGTAACCTTTTTGCTCAATTTATTTGAAAGTAGATGAAGAAAATTTAAGCTGAATAAAGATCTGGATAACTAAAAAATACCAAGTTGGTAGGGAATTGTCTACAAGAGGGAGTAGCAACCATATGCATATGTCTTAACTTGGTTTTCTTTCTAACTACAATCAGGGAACGTCATCACTGGAAGCGTGCAGCAAATTTGTGTGGTAAATAACAAGTACAGAAGGATTGCACAACACTCCCAAAACTGTCAGCCTTAAGGTTATCACAAATCCAGGGTGGTCATGGTTTCTGCAAGACAATGTTTCTCATCAGACAAGAGATATTGCAGGCTCTTATAATAATTAAGGTCCTTTTAATTTGTTTTCTAACATATAACAACTAAATAGCCACATACTGTTAGCATTGTCTTGATACTGAATAACCTATTGCATTCTTGTACTGTATGATACTGCTCTTTCTGCATGCCACTTTTAGGACATAACGACAAAGAAAAACATTAGTAAGTTTTATAAAGTTTTTGTAGGGATTGACACCATGATGATTCAGGGATGGTGAGGTAAGGGTGTCTCCTTAATGACAGCATGCTTTTCCTGGTGCTTTTCATTGATCAGCACACCCACATTCCCATTAATAGGAAAATGGTTATCCCTATGGGAAAATAGTGCCATTCATGTCACATACCCATCACTTGGGGGTGCCTGATTTCTCAAAATCAGATGTCATGTATTTCATTAGGTATCCAGACTGTCTAGCAATTCTCACACAATTAGTAATTAACAGATATTTCTGGGCAATACTATGTGAATTTCTCAGCTCTTGAAGAAGTTGGTGATTACTTATGGCTAAAAACCTGGCTTCTATTGCCACCAGAAACTTGGCAGCTATGAACATGCTGCGTCTGAGATCCACACAGCCAGTGTCCATCACCTGCTAATCACACTAACACCTTGGCTCAGAAAGCCCTTATGAAAGATGTATTGCTCAAGGCAGTGCTTTCCTGCAGCCTACACAGAGCCTTGGTAACCCCAAATACTCATGAATATCCCTGGCATATGTCAGATGGAGTTACCAGCATCATAATCGCATATGTGAGGTATGGTTTGGGCTCAGAATGGGGGGTATGAAGGCATCAACAGCTTCATTGTTGGAATGGATCTAGAAAATGTTTTCTGGAAGGGAGTATATTTAATCATACCACTGGCTGCTAAGAGACTGCAAAAACCAGACCAAAATGAATGCACTTCACACAAAAAATTTCCAGGCCTTTTAAATGGAGAGCCATAATGTTTACTCAGTAATTCTGCTATATATTAGATTCCTGGCTTGTGCTCTGTCATTTGGCCAGGAGAAAAAATATCTGTGGGGAAGAATGGAAGGTCTGTGGTCATTTGACTCCTGCAAAGTCTTGGCAAAGGGTTGTATTTTTCTTCTTCAAACACAACATGGTTTGGTCACTTCTGTTTTAAACACAGAATGAAATTTCTTTCCTATTAGAAAGATACATACGAAGACAGTACAGTATTATGATAATTAAATGCTGATGCACACAGGCAAGTCAATCACTATAAGTATTGATGCTTTTCACACTTTCACTTCTTTAAAACTTCCCTCCTGTGCATGTGAAGTTTACCTGGTTCCAGACTGTGGCTGAAGCTTTCTTCCAGATAAAGGTTCACAGGATGCTTTTCCTGAGAACCTTCTGAGAAATGTTTCTAGATTATGGTCTCAGAGTTTGAAATTATAGAACTGTCAGAACATCTCACTAGCTTGACCTACTTCAGCTTTCCAGGAATAGCCACCTGCTTCAATATCCAGAAACCTATGATTGCCATAAACCAGAAACAGCTTCATAAGTCAGAAACAATTTCAGTCATAAGCTGTTTCAGTCTGGGGGAAAGGGCTGGAAGAGAAATAAGGTTACACTGACCATCAGCTGTTGACGCGGGAGTCACGGACAACGCAGAGACGAACAATGTGATCAAGCGATTGCCAAATTTATTACAAAGCCTTAACTCCTTATATACTATTTCTTACATGCACTTACAGTGATTTGGCATATTATGATTGGATACATGTCTTGAAGACTCTTAGTGACTAAACATATAATTGGTTAAACACAGGTGTGAGAACTTGACCTCAAAAGCTTGCCAACAGTCCACAGTTCTCATTAACTCAGTGAATTCCAGCTTCTTCTTATCTTGCTTGCTTAATCTTCTTCGGGCCTCTCATGGCCTTGCTGTATCTTTCAGGATTATTCAGAGTTTATGTACTAATTATGCATTCTCCTGTGAGAACACTGTCTCCACACATCAGCAATGGGTGGATCCATAAGCAAACCATGCTCTAGCTGGGCTGTAGGCTTTTCACCTCAGTTTTCATATCTTGTTCCCTCTGGATAGATGATTTTGACATTTCTTATGAGACTTGTCCAGTTTAAATGGACCTGTAAGTGTTTGTTATGAGTTAATTGAAAAATGCATCTCGGATTTTTACCACAACAGCTTCTAAAGCACCTGAACCACTAAATGCCTGCATTGAAAAAAGAGAAGAAGGAAGAAACCTTCCTCAGAAGCTAATTTATAGTCTCCAGGATTGGTTTTTACTTCTTATCTGGTTGTATTATGCTGTGTGGAGTGCAAGCAATAGAACAAAGAGCGGAAGAGAACAATTTGGCTAAGGGGGCATCTTGCAAGTGGTGTGAACATGAGAAAACACTTGTATTAGAGACCATGCTACCTGTGTTATTTATGGTACATTTTCTTATTTCACCTGTGTAAAAGAAGTGGGTTTGGCAGTGGTGATAAAAGGGAATCACTTCTCTGCAAAGCAAGAACTTGGAAAATAGCTGTTTTTGTGAAATGGTGAGAAAATAGAAATTATCTTGGAGGTTCTGTGAAGAAATATGTCATGTCGTGAAGAACACTGGGCTTCCTTGCAAAAAAAGCAAAAGTATATAAAAGCAGGTGGCAGGGAGAGGGAGATTTCCAGGGTGGCCAAGGGAGATTTCCAGGGTGGCCAAGATGCCCCCATTGTGCTGTGAGAGGCAGAGGTACAAGCTGGGGTCCTTCTTGAACCTGCCATGAGACAGAAGCAGGGGAGTGAGAGCAGACTAGCAGTACACTGGGGTTAATTAGCTTATCTGTCTGGGCAGGCCATCACTCAATTATAGACTTTGAGTCTTTCTAAGGCTTGGCTGGAACTTAATTAGCAGATGTTAAAGCTTTTGGCATAAATAAGCCAGAACATGATGCCAACAGAAAGAGAATCAAAGGAAATTATTGTAGGAAAGAAGATTTTCTCTTACTTCAGTCAGATGCTGGTTAGTCACAGGGCACAGGCTCAGACCTGTGCAAGTGCAAGTGCACTATTGCTTCTTGGAGTCCAAAGGTTGACTGGAACGAATTTACATTTGCATTGTCTTTTGCTATGTTTATAGCACAGATAAAGGTGTTTTTTTTTAAGCTTTTGACTAGTTTTTGCAGATCCTTGAGTCTTTGGGGCAGCCTTCCTGAATTCCCTTCTCTAAGGAAAGCTCATGTGTAGGAGCTGGCAGCTGATGTGATGCAATCACTTCTTGCTCTTTCTTCCTTATTTCAGAAGTACATGGGGATCTCCCTGCACCAAGCCATGTAACATTTTTAGAGCACGGCAGCAAAAGGAGTTTCTCTTCTGAGAGGTATTTAAATCTGTTTTAACTGACAGCAATTTCCACTTCAGAATCTGTTCAAAGACTGCTCTCTGCCAAGCTCAATGAGCTGATGGATACCTCTCTTTTGATTCCGTAGATCTGGTACAGTGAAGTTGAACCCAGTGTTTAGTTTAGACCCATTGGCATCCAGTTCATTCAATGAAGTACTATGAATCATAAAAGAAACTCAGAGGTGATCTGAGTTTCAGAACTCAATCTGAGGTGATTCACTTTTGTGTCATTTTTTGGATAGTGTAACATGTGGAGGCTCCTTAGAGAAATAATTCACTTTCTGCACTAAAAAGAAATTAAGAAAAAGAGGAAGACAAAACCACAGCTGGGATAAGCATATAATTTTAGTTCCTGCTTCTTTAAAAAATATCTTTTCTGTAGTTGTGTTGCTGTACAAATGAAGGCACCACAGATATACATCTTCATTTAACTCAGCACAGCAAAATTAAAAGAGCAAATTAGTTTAGCAGCAGTAAGAGGGGTCTGATATGTCCCATCTTTGTATTTTTTAACAGTAAAGGCAATGTTTATCTCTCATTTCTTTTTTACTGAGATTGATCCCCAAGTATTCTTCCATGATCTCCCAGGAAATCCAGCTCTATTTTCATTCCTAAGCAGCCAGCTGGATGTGACATGTGTGCTTTGGATAAAGGTGGAATTTAGGTGGTGGAAGATGATGAAAGGTCAAGAGAAGTTTAAGGGGAAAACAGCCTCTCTAAACACTTCTGTATTCATGGAGTTTGACAACACTGAGCTAACCA